ACTTGGCGGGTTCGAGCAAATAGGCGTTGGGCCATATTAGACACAGAACTTGCACATTGAACACTGAGAGCCAGAGAATCCTTAACAGCCAACTCATCAGACCGTTTGGAAAGTAGTCTGTTATCTTTGGGAGTGAGAAGGTTTCTGGCCACCACCGCAGCGGTCATATCATTCTTCATCACAGAGTCCCTAACGGTAAAATGACCAGTAGGGGATAAGAAGGATGGGCGCCATATGTTGTCTTGAGAAGGCATGGCTGCCTCTTCACCAAAGTTCAAGTCAAAACGACGGTCGGATGGGCCAGACATTCTCAGAAATGATGAAGGAGAAATGAGGTGCAATAAATCTCTGAAGTAAGGGGAAAATTCCTACAAGCAATAACTCTCTGAATGTACTTCTTGCACATAATTGGTGCCCTTATAAAAGAAAGGGCAACAGGGCCGTTGGTTTAAAAATCGAAGAGGCACCACTTTCCACACTCAACATCAGCTCCTCGGATACCACAAATAACTTTGCCAAAAATCTCTGACAAAGTTTAGACACATAAATTTTGAAGGTCCAGCTACCCTACAATTACCCACAAAGGTACAGGAACAACAACATTGCTTGATAACTAGAAAGTCCCAATGTGTGTCAACCTCCGTGCTCCATGGCAAGGCAGATTGGAAAAAATGCCCAACCTTTACTCACATTCGAGAAAACACTCCCAACAAGATTGCTTGCTTAAAAATCGAAGAGAAACAACTCTCTGAATCTCGAGAGCCAGACTCCTAATAGGATTACGTGCTCAAAAATTGAAGAGGCACCGCCATTCGAATCTCGAGAGCTAGACTCCTAAGAGGATCACTTTCTCAAAAATCGAAGAGACACCGCTCTCCGAATCTCAAGAGTCAGACTCCCAACAGGATTGCTTTCTTAAAAATTGAAGAGGCACCGTTATCTGAATCTGGAGAGCCAGATCCCCGACAAGATTGTTTGTTCGAAAACCAAAGAGGCACCGCTCTTCGAACTTCTAGAGCCAGATTTCCTTAGATAAAACTTGTCTGCAATCTTCACACGCAACATCAGCTTTCCAGATTCCACAGACCACTTTTTCAAAGTGCTCTGACAAAGTTAAAACACGTGAAGCTTGCAGCTCCCACTACATTGCTATGACCAAGAAGGGTAAAGGAATAACACTACTACTTGTTGTTAGGGAGACTCCTATATATGTCGACCTCCATCCTCCACAGCCAGGCAGACCTGCAAATAAAAAAATGCTCAACTTTTCTTCACATTCCGAGAGGGCACTCTCAGCAGAGTCTCTCGAAATACTCAGCTTTTTTCCCCCCGATAATACCTCTGCAAACAAGCCACACCAGAGCAAGAGTATCTCATATCATCAGGGTTAAAAGCAAGAGTATCCCATATCATGCTTTTTCCCTGTCTTTTCCTTTGGCCTTGTTCTTACCTGCAAGACAAGGAGAAAGAGAGCAATCAGTCAGCACTTGGAATCAAGCTTCCAGTCAGGAACTGACTGCTTGAAACCCCTTGCCTTGATTACTTACCTGGCATTGCTCTCGAGTACTCATCTTCAACATCTTATGCTTCCAGAGAAGATACCATATCAGCCTGAGGAATAGATAGGGCAAGTGAGAAGGATACAAGGAAGCATGTGGAGACAAGCGTAACAGAACACATGCCGATACATCCATTATTTTGTCAACAGAAAAAGTATCCCATATTATTAGGGTCGAACATACTTTGGATTTGATGGATTTGTTTTGACCCTCAAATTCTTGAGTCGGCCTTATACTTTAGAGGAAACCAGAAAACCCTTCAGCCCAGTTCAAGAATAAGCATGTGGAAAGTTACTTCTTCAAAAGCAAAAGTATCTCATATCATCTCTTCTCCATTTGCTTCTCCTTATCCTTGTTGCTGTTTATGACACAAAGAGAAGGAGAACAATCAACCGGAAGCCAAAGTCGAACCTCCGATCCAGGTTGCTTGCTTGGAAGTCTGATTGCTTACCTTGTCTGTTACCTTCTTCGGCAAATCTCCTAGCTCGGCAACTTGGGGGACTCCTACTATAGGGTTTGTATCGCTCTTGACCAAGCCCGAAACTACAAGTAAGCTTCAAGTGAAATTGATACATTACCTTGTGCATCTTCATCGGTTAAAGATACCACCCCTGGATGGAGGAAAAGTACTTCCAGAGAAGATGCCACATCTACATATAAGACAGATAAGGTAAGTGAAAATGATACCACACTTCAGTACTTAGAAATTTCGTGATTACTCAATGACTTGGATCTTGCAAGTCCTCAACCGATGAGCTTCCCTCACTCGGGAACTTAGGGGAGCACTGTTTGTACCATACTTGACCAATCCCGAAACTATTGAGTACCGGTCAACGTTATACCGTCAAGGACCTAGAAGAGTTTCCCTCCAACTAGGAGGCCAATCACAATGCGACACATGTCGACATCAGAAGCCAATCATAGCGCGACACGTGTCAACATTAGAAGCCAATCACAACACGACACGTGTCAATGTCAGAATGAAACTAGAAACTCTCTTCTATAAATAGAGATCATTCTCTCACAGTATTTCCTAATGTCATTTGTACTAAATCATTCACTAGTACTCAATGAAGGAGAGCTTGAATCTATGTACTTGTATAAACCCTTCACAATTAATGAGAACTCCTCTACTCCGTGGACGTAACCAATCTGGGTGAACCACGTACATCTTGTGTTTGCTTCCCTATCTCTATCCATTTACATACTTATCCACACTAGTGACCGAAGAAATCTAGTGAAGGTCACAAACTTGACACTTTCTGTTATACCAAAGTCCTCACTGATTTTGTGCATCAACAGAAGGCTTAGGCTTAGGCTTCCCATTATATTGATGCATTGAGTGTTTCGTACAAACATTCTCCATTTATAAATTCATAACAAAGAATAACATCATATATAGTTGGTTAATTATTTTGTTATTAAGTTTAGTTTTTGGACTTTTGGATGAGGTTAGAAATGTATGCGTTTTTTATTAAGTTCCATCACCAAAACTCAGGGCCTTCATTTCCCAGTGGCACTTTTTATCATGTGGTACTTTCATACATTTTGTTTATCGACTGTGTAAGTAGATTAGAGGTGCTACAACCCACTATGATGCAGTTGCGAATTCAACTTATACGTGAGAGGTCTTAGGTTCAGGGTTTAGGGTAAGAAAATGAACCTAAACTTATAGCTAATGAACCTACATTATATGTTGATATTATGAACCTGCTGGGTTGGGTAAACACTAGTTTTAAGAACCAACAACACAGGTTCACTAATGAAACAAACCTAGAACATAGATTCACTTATTCCGATGATCAAACCTGTCTCTGTTCAGAAACTATTCGAAGTGTATAGAGTTATTATTCCGTTATTCTTTTAGTTTACCAACATCAAACACAAAATACTAATCAAGGAATTGATACAAGTTTGAATCTTTCAATTTGATTTTTCGACTTTCATAAGTATGCTTTTGGCGTTGGACTGGAGCTTGCACTGAGGACCGGTGGGGCTGCCTTTTGGGAGCAGTGGATTTGTAACGTGAAGGGACTAGACAGAAATGTAAATCGTTGTACTTCCACTATAAATAACCAAAAGTATCATATATAGGAATGGGCAAAATACACATGAGTTTGGGTAACCGCGGTTATCCGCCTATTTAAAGTTCACGGTTACGGTTATGGATAACCGTTTAGATGAACAAATGGTTATGGGTATAACCGTTTATCCATAAAATTTAAATGGACGGTTATGGATATTACTCACGGTTATAACAGGTATCCATCGTTTATGAATATTACCCACGTTTATAATGGCTATCCATTTACTCATTTAATTTTATATATGTAAAATTAAAAAAAAAAAATTAAAACTCTAAATTTTCAATCTCTCTGCTAGACGCAGAGTCTCAGGCTCTCAAACGCCCCTTCCCCCACTCATCTCTCCCTCCTCACTGCCCTCTCTCTCATCTCCGCCGCTCATCTATCTCTCCTTGCTGCCCTCTTTGCTCATCAGACTCTCAAAGTTCAGGATTACCATCAATTTCTTGCTTTTGCGTTACAAAATTTGATTGACTATTTGGGGACAATCTGTTTCCCATCTCTCACATTTGGTTTTGTGTCAAATTTTGGGTATGCTAAAATTCTAAGTACAAGTTCATGGTGTAGGCTCTGGCTATATATATATATTAATACAAATTACATAATATAATTAATCAATTAAAATACACACAATTATCCAGATTGTTTGAAAACGAAAATTATGACAAAATTTTCTTTTGTAATTTTCAAGTTGTTAAAAAAAAAACATGTAGACGGGTGAAAAAGGGTAAATGGGTAAAAAGGGATAAAAGGGTTCAAAAACGGGTAAACGGTTATGGTTATATGGGTAAATGGTTATGGTTATATGGGTATGGGTATACCGTTTATGCAATTACCCAACGGGTAAACGGTTATGCGAGTATGAACATAAATGGTTATGGATAAATAACCGTGGTTACCCGTCTGCCATAACCGTTGCCCATCCCTAATCCTATATCTAAAATTATTGCATGGTCGCTACTAGAAATTTCGGCTTTACTGACAAAATTAGTTTGTCGGCAAAAGTCAAAATTTGTCAGCAAAGAGTCTTTTCCGACAAAAATTTTTGTCAACTATTTTGTCACGCAAAGCATGTCGTGCAAGAACTTTCCCGATGAATTTTGGTATTTCGTCGGCTAAGGTTCAACTTTTGTCAGCATTTACATCTTTCCCGACAAATATTTTCATCGATAAAGGCCTTTTAAGCCGACAAATAATACTTTTCAGCCAACAAAATGTGTTTGTCGCCATGGATATTTCGTCGGCAAAGTTAGTTTCGTCGGGAAGACAATTAATTTATAAAATGAAAAAAAAAGATGCTTTAATTCTTAGATACAACATATGCACATCAAAATACAATACACAAAAAATTGTTAAGAAATAATACTTTATTGATTGATAGGTTTGGAACGTACATCTAGAGTAATTATACAAAAGCATGTCACATAATAAAATTATCCTACTGTCATTCCTCAAAATTGGTTGCCATGTAGCATCACAACACATCTTGCATCTTGCCCATGCATAATCACAACCATCTAGCACTACCTGCACAATCACAACCATCTTGCACCTGCATCATACTTGAGAGCAAAGAACCTGTAACAAAATACCCAACAGAGAAGATTAATTCCTATATCACATATGACACAACTTCCTAGCCAACAAACGTACATTGCCAATATACTAAGAAAAGTACTATCTACAATTAATAATATCTCTGATGTGTATAATTTGAAGATCATTTCAAGTTACTAGTCATCAATTACCGAGATGAATCTTCACTTATTCCACCAAAACCTTATAAATCCTTTCATGCTGTTGTAGCTCATATTGACAATCCTAAATGTGAACCATCCACTCTATTTAAAATACAAAATGTATATGGCTTAGCTATTTGTGATGAAGTTAAATAAACATAAATTTACTGAATGACTACATGGTGAATAAAGGCTTTCAGCACAAAGTAGTAGTTGTTACAACATGCTCCAAACCGACACATACAATTGTACAATAACATTTAAGGGTTCAGGGGTTTGAAATTAACCTTGACTAGTGAACACATTCTTTGTCCATGATAACAGGCCTTTCCCTCTACTACTACAAGTTAGTATGTCACAAGCTGCCAATCTATGAATTTTTGTCAATGAAGAGAAATAAAACTTGCAAGCTTTGAAAGAAACACTTTCAAGTCTAACTAAGTTTGTAAGGAAACTTACATCCTTAGATTCATTCTACAACCTTAGGGTTGACAATTGTATGAAAAATTTGCTACTTCATTCTCTTCATAAGCAGTTCCTATAAAACCACCTTTAGTAAATAATGCCTCACCAACAAACCAAAAGGTATCTATGTTGCATAAAGAAATAATTCATATTCGGATAGAATTAAACTGATTCCAAAAGTTTCAAGGAAGAAAACTAATCACAGAATTTCAGCCACATGAACACATGTTGCAAAAAAAAAAAAAAATGATTAAAGTTTGTAATGGATACTCAGTCAACTATTAAATCATGAGAAAACAATTAAAAGGTTTGCAGTTAGGTACAAACAAACTCATTTCACCAAAGTGCCAAAACAATACTAAACCACATTTTTTAAATTGATAATAAAATCACAACCTTACCTTTGTTCACTTTTGAATAGGCATGACATTACAGCCTGCTCAAATTGGTTAAGAATTCAGAAACCAAAAAAGTAGCAATCCCAGTTTTAGATCAAATGGCCAGCACAAACAAGAACACAAACTACAACATACTTTAAAATCAGAATTCACCATCACAAGGCACTTGTAAATGTAAGAAGCTGTTATCAAGTATATGGTTGCCATTACTCACACCACCCCATCAACGCAATTTCATTGCTCTTAACATTTTGAGACCATTTTTCTTGCTAATTCAGTTTCAAAGTCAAGCTTGGAATTAAAATAAAAAAACAGTTTATTAACTGAAATAGTAAAATATACAGAAAATGACAATCTCACAAGTACCATGACCGAATTTCAAATGATTACACAGAGGAATTGATTATTATGCTGCAAAGACTCACAATCAATTTTAACTATAAAATTATTACTGCAGATTGATTGAAGTTTCCCAGAAATTGAAGTTAAAAGTAATTTCCAGAACATGGATTAAGCATCCTCAATCCCCAGGAAACCCAGAAAGATAAACTACAAACCCTAACTAAGGATCCTCAATCAAATCATTGCCTAAAACCCCTCAAAATTACAGTGGAAAACAGTCTAAGGAAGGAACCATAAAATTGAGATTAAATAGAGAGTTAAGGGAAAAATTAGAATAGATAGGGTTGAAAACATTACCCAAACGTTTAAGAGAAACACTGCGTATTGGAGATTTCTAAGCTAGAATAGCAGGGGCCCTTCGACGGCAACGGCAACAGCAACGGTGAGTAGATGAAGCGACGGCGACGCCTAGAAAAAAAAAAACAATGTTGACAGAAAGCTGTGCGTTTTCCTTTTCCTCTTTCCATTCTCGCCTTCGGTCGTCCCTTTCAAATCTCGCTTTGTGTCCTTTTCAGCTCTTTGTTTCCTCACTCAACACCGTATCAATGTAAGGGTTTTCGACTTTTTATTTTTCTTTTGTTTGAAACTGAAAAGTTTGATTTTGATAGATTGGAAAGAATACAAAAGTTAAATCTTTATTTGGGTGAATTTTTAAACCCAGTTTCTCTTATGGATTTTCATGGGTGGTTAAATTGAATTGGAGGTTTTTATGTGGTCTCAGATGGAAACAATTATAGAAGGGGTGCAAGATATAAACGGGGTGGAATGTTTTCTTTTAATTTTTTTTTTTTTGAAATCATTTTGGGGTTTTGTTTGGTTTTGCTAATTACGGGCTTTTGAACCCAGTAATTTGTCTACACGATATGTTGTTGTTGTTGTTGTTTTTTTTTTTTTTTTTTTTTAAATTGAAGAGTCTTTGCCTTCCATCTGTTTTCTCTTTCTGGAATTTCCTTTCTCAGCGTTTTTCAAGCTTATGGTATATAATTTGTTTTTATTTTTAGGTTTATGATTGGTTTTGCAGGTTTTGTTTGTACAAAGAAGACGGTAACATGGCTGGTGCACCGTCTGTTTTCAGTCGAGGGTGAGGTTTAGTTTGTTGCGTAGTTAATCTTAGAGTTGTCATCAGTTGTTTGGTCCATTTGTGATCGAAAAATTTGGGAGCATCTTTATCTGTTCATTTGTCATGTTTTAATTGGATTAAATTTTAGGTTCTCCAAATTATAAGCTATCTTTTATTCTCATATATCAATTTGGTTGGCTCTTATGTTTATGATGGTTCTCATTCTGATATAGCAGTTCGATTAAATTTTAGGTTCTCCAAATTATAAGCTGCGTTTTATTTTGATATACCAATGTGGTTGCCTCTTATGTTTATATCAATTTGGTTGCCTCTTATGTTTATGATGGTTCTGATATAGCAATTTGATTAAATTTTAGGTGGCTGAGAAGTTTTGCACTGCTCCAGATTCCTTTTGTTTAAAACCTCTAAGGTCTTACTAGTTCTTACTGGTTATTTTTCCCTTCTTTTTTAGCATGCATTTTTAATTTTAGTTCTTTTTTATTTTCAGGAAGCGGTGATTGTCGTCCTGCGCTCTAGCAACTATAAAGAATACAGCTTTAGGTACACTTACTCTCTGATGAAAATCTCAAGTTTAAGTCTTAATTGATTTTTGAGTGAAGTGTTTAATGGTTTTGTTGATTTGGCTGGTATGTTTTCATTTGTTTGATTAAAATTTAATTTGGGTTATTGGGTATTTCTTGATTTGAATGATTTCTAAATATTGTTTCTCCCCCAATTTATGATATGGATAACTGTAGTTGGATAATAGTATGAGCTCAGTTATATTCTTTGAACCAATGACGGCTATTCAATTTTTTTTTTCTGTGTCTTTTTGAACTTTCATAAGTCATTTAATTTTTCTTAATCAATATTTTGTTTAAGTCTTTACTCCTGCATAGTTATCAAATTTTGATTTAAGTTAGCTTATCTTTCCTTATTTATCTACATTACTTACACAAGATAGTATTGTTATATAACTGATATCTGAGAAATTAATATTTTTACTTATTTAATCATTTATTTTAAGACTTGGCGATAACAATTTTTGTCACATCCCAGCCCGGGCGGCTCACTTCCCAGGCCCGCTCCACCACCGTAGCACGATATTGTCCGTTTTGGGCCCCGATCACGCCCTCACGGTTTTGTTTTTGGGAACTCACGAGCAACTTCTCAGTGGGTCACCCATCCTGGAGTGCTCTGGCCTCCTTCTCGCTTAACTTCGGAGTTCCTACGGAACCCGAAGCCAGTAAGCTCCCAAAAGGCCTCGTGCTAGGTAGGGATGAGAATATACATTTAAGGATCACTCCCCTGGATGATGTGGGATGTCATAATTTTTTAACTCATACAAGTTATGTTTGGTTTAAGCAGAGATTTAATGGAAGACACGGAGATGACTCCCATCTTTGAGTTATGGCCGTATATAAAGGCTGAGAAAATCAAAGCTCGCGGTTTTAGAATATGAAAATCAACAATTCCCGGAACTACTCAAAAATACACATCTTTACACTGCATTTTGCTTGATTAGATGGTGAGAAAATATTGTTTTATTATTTTGATGAAGAATTATAACAAGAATGATTGACTAGCCAATTAATATTTTTGTTTATCATTCTTTGTAATATATTCAATAATGAATCCTAAATGTATACAGATAATCATAACACATTGATATATATTTTGTCATTAATTTTACATCATTATTTAATTGTGTATCCTGTAGTTTATTTAGATTGCAAGTAAACATACGAATTAAATATTTTTAGGTGAACTTCACACTTTGTGATGAACAATACTGGTTGCTCACTTTTCCGTTTTGATTCGGACATTCCAGAAGTTAATGCATACAAGTCGGTGTAAGTATTTCTATAGCTTTAAACACAATTAAACTCTTTTCTCTGTTGTAAAAGCAAAAGAAATATTAGTTTCATAAAATTATTCAAACAGTTTTACATTTTCAATCATACAGGTTTGCAAATTGTAACGAGCCTGAGAAAATATTGGCCCCCTCCTCCAGACAAGTAAATGAGGCTGAAATTTTACGCACAGCCAAGATGTTCACAATTGATGAAGTCGCTTTTCTAGATCCTGATTTACACAAGGTATAAAACCTAATTACATGTTTTTAACTCATCTTAAAAACATATGATTACATATTTAGTATACATAATTAGTATTCTTATACAAAACTATTACAAACTGTTTTGCAGAATGATACGTTTTTCTGTAAAGCGTGTATCAAGTGTTTTGACACACGTTATCAATCATGGTATAGTGCGAATGCCAACTATGACAAATGCATAAAGACTTGACAACTAGACAGCTGATTTGCCAAAAGCATCCAAACCAAATTCCTACTCCTTGGTAATGTTTAACATGCATTCCTCAAACTTTGTCATAAATTGCTTTAAATATTTGTTATCCTTATCTTTTATTCATTCTTTATATAATCTAACATTTACCAAATCTGTTTTTTTTTCACATTTTTTCTCATATTTGTATGCACATGGTTTGAATACATTTATCAAGAATGAAATCAGGTCAGATATCCTTACCCTCATTGATTATTTTTCTCGCTGTTTTTCTACAGCTGTTATCCAAAACTTTGTTAGAGTGATACTTAGCTTAAATTTTGTGATGTTAAACAAAAAATTCTAACCTTTCCTGCTTTCACGTTATTTAAATAACTTTCAAATACTATGTGTTCAACAATTAAATCATTGTTCAAAACATACTCATTGCAGCACAGATTTACCCTTTTTGTACAAAATTGGTATAGCTTTTGCACTTTTGATCATGTTATCTTCATTACTTAGTGACTACAATCTGCTTCTTTTCGTTTACACTTGGTCAAATTGTTCCAGTATTGGTTATGCCATGGTCTTCACATATACTCTACTTTTCTCACACATTAATATGGCTATCATAAATCCAAACTATTAATAAACTTAATAACCATGAATTTCGTTGTAGATTTAAGTTAAACAAAACAAAGACTGATCTTTCTGGTTTTATCAATGCTTTCTTCTGTTTTATTTTTATTTGTATAAGTTGAATTCAAGATTATTTTCCCTCAAGCAGTTTGTTTTTTTTTAATCTAGGTATAAAGTCAATTTGGTTCTTGAGTATCACACCAATGAAATCAATGCTCTCATAATTGGAAAATCTGGTGAAAAGCTTTTTGGTGTGCCATGTAAACACTTAGTACTGAATCAAAGATTAGTTGACCAACAACAGTTACCAAACTAGTTATTTAAATATAGTTTGTTTTCTTTTCTGCAACTAGGTTGTTTTGACAGTGTAGAAACAAAACTTCATCTGGTGCCCTAAAAAATATACAGTATGGTTCATCAGCATATGTAAAAATTCTTCCGGATGTTTTATGGCATGCAAATAACTCTTTTTACTCAAAACTTATCAATATTTTTGCATGTTCATACACCAGCACTTCTTAATATTTTGTATATCATTGCTGGTTCTGGTTAAAAACAACTACAACTACCAGACTGTTAGATGAATGTAATATTTTTTGCATGTACATAGACCAGCATTTTGTAATTTTTTGTATCCAAGTGCTGGTTTCAGTAGAATGATAGCTATAGCTACTAAACTATGACAAATGGATGTAATATTTACCAATGAAGTTGTCCATATTTAACTGTTTATCTCTATAGTGTTTCTAATATTTTTGTTATCAATGGTATTAATATTTTGTTACACTGTTTTTAAACCCGCGACAACGCGCGCATTATACCTAGTTGTATCTAAATTTAAGGGGAAAATTCTTTCGATGACGAAAAAATTAAACGGGAAAATCGAAAGGGCAAAAAATAAAGGGGCGGGAAGGAATTAATAATTTGCGTCACTCTCGTGACAACAAACCAGCATGTTTTCGCCAACCTTGAGCTTATTCGTCGGCTTGAATGTTCTCGGCCAACAAAATTTTGGTAGGCGTAGGTTTAGATGTTTGAAGCCGACAAATTAAACTTTTCGTCGGGCCGCCGGGGAAATCTTTTGTGAATTTTTGTTGGCTTTATATTTGTTGGCAAAATGATATTTTCTAGTAGTAGATGTTGGACTCCTATCTGAAATTTGAACCATTTACGCCACATACATCACTCCAAAATATTCCACGTATTTCAGGGTTTTTTTTTTGTCTTTATACTACCCCTAAGAAAAGTAAGAAAACATGTGGAGGGTTGTTGGCTTGGCTTGGCTACCTGCTAGCTCTTCCTTTTCCTCCTTTCAATAAGATTTTTCAATGTGATTGTCACACGAGATAGTCACGTGTCTTTATATAAATAGTGAGATATATGTATTAAAAGATTAATAACTTAAAAATTAAAAATTTCCACCACTTATATAGAAACACATGATGTACCATCCGTGTTTCCGTCACAACTAAAAATTTCTCTACTTCCCCTTAATATTCTATCGGTTATAACGTCACTTCACTCTCCAACTCCCCTTAATATCCTATCGGTAACGTCACTTCACTCTCCAACTCCTTATAAATTCAGTCCTCTTCTCGTCTTTTCCTCTAAAAAACTAAACCATATAGCAGTTAAATAATCACTTACAAACATGGGGAGAGGAGAGTTCAAGGTGACGATGA